ACGTCTAGGTGTCTCCACACCGGCTACGTGGGCATAGCTAGCTATCTTCTAAACTAGCCGACCTAAAGTAGCAAGTTAAATTTGGTAGTTAGTAAGAACTTCTGCAAAACAAGTGCTTTAAGTGGTGCAAGCGTATGTTGTCACTCAAAAATTCAGATGAACCTAGAAAATAGTGAGTTTAATTCCTAATTAATCTGGTAGCAAGCACAACGCAGTGCAAATACAGGAAATGAGTACGGTTTACCGCAGGAAACAGCAGTCCGTCAAAGGTTCCGCAAAAAGGAGATTATTTACACTATGGTTCATTTCAATTGTAGGTGATATCAGAAACACCACTAAGATCATCTGCATAAGAAGATAAGGCTTTGTGAGTTGCATTAAAAACTTTGGACACATAATAAAGATTTTTACGGGTGGGACCAGAATGCATCATGTCCTAGTGTAGACAGCTGCGCTCTTTCAACGACCTGCCTACATATTCAGAGACACTCTGCAGGCCCAGCAAACTGAGGACACATGATTGCTTTTACTGTTCATGTGAGCACTGTGCATACACCGACATCCGCCCTGCAACTTCAATACTCTACAACGTAGAAACGAGGGTTCTTTCATGCAGCACGCAGGTACAAAGTAGGCCAACGGCCACGCGCCATCTGTCGTGTATTTTAGGAAACTGGTGACCTATGGCTTTTTTTAGTTGTCGGTCTAGCTTCCAGGAAAAAGGAAAAAGGAAAAAGAAAGAAATTCAGTACGGATACAGTTACAATTTTGAATTAGACTGTTTCTAGAAGGACCAGCAAGCTCATAATTTTTTTACATAGCCTATTTAGATAAAATGAAATGCCTACATGTTAACACAAACTGACCAGACTTACATATTTGCTCTGTATTATGCTCTGCTTTTTCTGCTGTTATCTGTTAAAAAAGGTTTGCTGTGAAAAAGAAGTTTTACATGAGTCACTAATATCAGCAGTTAAATGATCAGGAGATTCAGAGAGATCTATGACCACACTACACAATCCACATGTTATTACAGTGTTTTCCCTCCTTTTTATATTTGGTATAGGTTATTTGTTCAACAGGTATCACTGACTGTTACCATGGAAGCATGGACTCCAGAAGAAGGATGGATAGCTGAGCTTTTATGCTTAAATTAGTTTTTATTGAAACTAAGATTAGACTAAGATTAGACAACACCAACAGCCAGTTTCAAATGTATTTGTGAAACTGGACCCAGTACATGGTCACAGAATCCTAAAAGTGCAGTCAAACCAAAATATGCTTGCATGTTGTTGCCAAAACCAGGAGTTGACATTATTTGCACTGTTTGTTGCTTGTTAATACTGTTTATTTTGTTATATTACACAGCCTTATGCTGGTTTACTGTTTACTTGCCCCTTGCATGGGGATATGTACATACACATTGAGAGCCGATGTACCAGAGTCAAATTCCTCGTGTGTCCGACACACATGGCCATTAAAGCAGATTCTGATTCTGTAAACAAAACCTGCAGGAGATACAGTAGCATGCAATACCAACTGAACACCACTAGATGGCACTTTATTATAACAAAAGGTTGGAAACAAGCTCTTTCCTCTGATTCAATACCTGCAGGTAGGAATGTGATTGTCAGCATTTGTAGCACATTTTTGTAACTTGTCAGATATGCATCCATGATCAAATTACACTCCATGATTTAATGCTTGCTATGCAGATGGTGGCACTTTTGGAGTCATCTTTTGCAAAGCAAGTTCCACTCAACCTCGAGAATTTTGATGTTTCCTTGAACTGCAGCAAGATAAACAAGACTAAAAGCTTCAATTAGCCCTTAAAAGGCTTCGGAGCAAGATAAAGTATATTAACACCCTGAGGATTATTTACAACATCCTGCATTAACTTTGTCAGTGTGATAGTCTTAAATAAATCTCATAGTAATTGAGATGAATCCCTCATTTCAATGACAAGACCGGTTTTTAAGACCCAATTACCACTTTGAGTCCTCTGGCCCAGTGGATGTGCAGTGTTCAGGGCAGGGCAGCAAGTTGGCCGTTTCAGCAAGGAGGATGGAGAGATGGATTTGGTCCAAAGAAGGATGGATTTCTTCCTGGGCTGCACTGCATCAGAGGGCAGTTAGATTTATGACAAACGCATACAATCTTAATTTGTGCTCAGCCCGATAATGCATCTCAAGGCCAGAATAGTTCTGCTCAGTGTTTCTTAACTGAATGTTTCTTTAATTATATGTCAGAGGCCATAAAACGCAGAGGGAGACTTTCCCACAAAGCACTGTTTTACGTATTGGTCATTACTGCAAATTACAAGCAACAAGAAGAGGTGTATAGAAGTAAAATGCAAAAAGAAAAGTGGGTTTATTCATCTCCATACACTTTTCACCCTGTTAGTATAGCGATCGTTGGGAGGCCTTACCAATACTGCATGGTAGCTGCTCCCTCAGCAAATGTTTGGGCACTGACCATGGAAGAGAGAAAACATGATGCCTCCATTCACAACACAAAAGAAAGTAAAACATGTACAAATCTCAATGAATAGTACAAACATAAACATGTACATATTCACAAATCCATATTCATACAATACTTTCACCCAATTTAGTCCTGCAATATGAGCCACTAGCACACTTCAGATGGCATGTGCACACTTATACTGTAGTATGGCTATCACACAGTTATTACTGTGAGTAATAGAAATCACAATGACTTCTATGTGAAAATACAAGATGGCTGTACACAAACACTCCTCTGCAGCCCTTGGCCTACCACAGGGTGGCTTTACAGTCCCTCTGTTGTTATATTGCCTTTTTTAATAGGATGCCACTTAATCTTTGGTGAAAATTAGCTGTCCATTCATGTTAGATTTTTATACGAGAGCAGCTGCTATTGCTCCTTTCAGCGTGTAATATTTCCTGGGAAATTCAACTGTTCTTCTGAAGTGTTCTGACAAGTGATTAAACAATTTAAATACTTCAAGCAACAAATAACTCAACTTCATTCTTACAACCCTTTAATTTAGGTCTGTCCTTCCCCTCCGCCTACAGCTTGGCGCACACACACACACACATTCACCCACAAACACAGAGTGCATCATTTGCTTTTCCTCTATTTTTTTGTCTCTGTCTTGAGTCTTTTTGTCCCAAGTTATTTCTGTGGTGTCAAGTCTGTGGATGTAAAGACAGAGAAGCATTTGCCCTCCTCAGCTCAGCTCAAACCCGGCGGACGACTCGATGGCATACAGCAGCTTATTCCTCATCACCTGCTGGTCACAGAACTCAGGGAGCTTGAGCAGGTTCATGCAGGTGCTGGCAGTGGGCAGACGGTCCAGGTCAGTGCCGCCATTGTGGATGCAGAAGGCGGGGTAAAGCTCCTGTGTGCATACACCCACTGTTAGTAAGTACATGACAAATTACCAGGAATTGAAACATGAGAAATTTTGTCATCATGACGCCTTTAAAGGCAAAAGAAAATGAGACGTGAATTGCCTCATGTCAGAAACATTCACAGTGTCCAAAGCAATCCAGATTAAACAATAAATGTCAAATTCCACAACAGGATGAATGTTAAAGGAGAGACCTTAAGCACTAAAATAATATAATGGAAATATAAATTTGGGGGATTAGTTTAGGGCTTGAAAGCTTCTGAGGTTGACCATTGGATGAGACATTTCATGTTGTCTGACATTTCTCAAATCAAGCCTCTTTGTGACGAGGCCGCCTCATCTGTAGATTGTGACCGAGTGTTTTCATCCCAAGATGGGCAGATGAATACACTTCCCACCCTCATTTCAACCTGCTATTTAAAGGCAGCATATATGGTTCAGCCAGCATAAATGGCTCTCTAGGGGCTTAGCAGTACTGACCCTATTTTTCTAACAATTACTGTATTAAAACTATCGTTGCTTATTGCGAACATCATTAACACAGCTATCATTTTGTGAGGGAAAATGTTTCCATCATTTGTTTTTTTGAAATAGCTTCTTTTGACAGTGCTATTTCTCCTCTAATGAATCCTGGGCAGTTTCATGACGACTAATTAAGGCTTAGCTGGCTCAGGCTGAAGGCTGGGTCACAGGCTGCGCCCCTCACAAAGAGAAGCTGAAGCAGAGGGGGTGCATCTACACACCAGCCAAAGTCAAACTGATTAAATGAGTGGGCAAGGCAACTCTTAGACCTCAACTGGAGGTTTTGCAAAGGATTTTGAGATTTTTCTTAACTAATGTCAGTCATAGAGTATTAAACCAATCATATGATGATTACAGATACTGGTTAGACATAAAAACGTTTAAATGACCCTGAGCAACACTTTGTGCTTTTTCCCGCGTTTCTCCAACTACTTAACTGCCCCATAAATCAAGTCTGTTGTAAAGTGAAATGGCTTCCAATTAAGAAATCATTTCAGAAATGGGAGGTTAGCAGTAATGGCTCAGCATTACCGAATGCTGGAACAACGTTTAGTAGTAAGTAGATAAATTCCTTGTATTCTCCTTTAACAGGAAATCTGTACTTTCTGCATGTCACGCAGAAGGCAAAAGTTCAAAAGTTCAACCTGCTACCAAGTTCTGAATGGCAATATTTGTCCAGCCAGGATCTTTGACCAAGCACACACACACACACACACAGGGCCACAGAAGTAGTTCAACAGAATAAGGTCATGAACTATTAAAAAAACAAAAACAAATGGGGAGATAAGACGTCTTTGCTCTGGTGTGGTCTAATCGCCACCTAATTTGAAAATTATCATTTTGAGGGCTGTTATCGGTCTAGGTATTTTCATTACAGTACCATTAAGAGAGAACACTCCCTTCTGTTGGTCTTGGCAAACCTCTCAATAACAGAGTATATAGGTAGTACACAGAGTAAGAGTACTGCAGAATAAGCAGGTATTCAGACTGAGTCCGGTAAAACGCAACTCCCTGCTGTGTTTTTATGCAAGGGGCTGCATTGGTCGGGGCATGAGGGGTTGCAGGGGAAGTGACGTAGACATATACAATACAGCTACATTGTGAAGAGTCGACGTGAGTGGCTTCATTCACATTTGCAGCCCGTCAGCTTCTGCCGTGACACTTTTGCTAGATGATGTCACCATTCAGTGCAGCAAAAGCTGAAAAAGAACCAACTTTTTTGACGTACAGGGCTGTGATTTTTGCCAGAGCCCTCTGCAGTGCTGGTGCTGGTGGCAGTGAATGCAATGCCCCTTAGAAATGAATGGAGACGGCTGTGTTTTTTCACACCTCTGAAACTCAGTCTGACCACCTGCTAAGTACAGTATAGGGATAGGAAAAGATGAAGAGAGGCAAGTTCAAGTTTGGTAAACACTAACCTTGAAGCCAAGCAGTGGAGGTCTGGAGCAGCTGGTAACAAACCTGAGCAGCTTGCGCTTTTCCTCATCTGTGAAGCCTTCCACCACTTCCCAAAAAATCTGTATGACGGGGTGAGTGGCTGAGTAACCACCTACAGGAAATGGCAATGGAGAAAATTACATTATTTAACCCATACTCATAAATACATCAAATTGAATATACATCAATTAACCTGCGAAGTGATGACTACTATTTCTCCCCAGCCACTGATGCCCATTTGTCAGTCATGAACATACTGTAAACTAAATGTCAATTTCTCAACTGTATAATGACTTGTAAGCACCAAACAAAATTGTGACTCCAGCATAAATGTTTTTAACATGAGCTCCTACCTGAGTAGTTGGTGAACATTTTCAGGTCATCAAGACAAATCGGCACATGAGCCCCAGAAATCAGGACCTTCTCAAAGGAAAAACATTGTTAGATTCTGTGAGTTATAAGTGTGCTCAGTGTTTATGAGCAGATTTTCCTCATCATGTGCAGACTACCTGGATCTCCTGCTGGTCAAACATGCGCAGCCACTCCAGATTGACCACATTGGCCAGGCCTTGTCTGAAGGCCAGGCAGTGAGGCCTGATCTGCTTGTTCAGTCTGTAGTCGGCCACCAGATGGATGTAGGCTATTCGGTTTGCTGTGGTCACAGGAATGTCTTTGCCTCCCGGCTTCAGTTCAACCACCTGCTCACACAAAGTCACAAGGCATTTACAAGACTCTTCCACAGTTTCTATTGAAATATGATGTATTCTCCATTCTGTTGTAACATTACTGTCAGGTAAGTATACTGCATACTTCACTATGCATATCATGAAGTCTGTCTTGAGTGCCAGATGACCAACAAACAATGTAGGTGCTTTAATTGTGCCAGGTGGCATTTAATTTAATACCAGATAATTAAAACGTTTCCCAACATCACTGTAATTAAAGGTAAGGCTCTCTCTGTGTGTTTACTTCTCTTTATTACATTGTATGGACACATTTTTGCTCAATGCCATCAGTGTGAGGACATTTTAGCCAGCTGTCAACTCAAATTGCTGTTTGAGGGTTAAGACTTGTTTTAGGGTTAAGGGTACAGTTAGGTTAGGTTTATGTTAGGGTAACGGCTGGAATGCATTATCTCAGTAAGTGTCCTTACAACTATAGTAAGACGTGAGCACACTATTATCAGTATTTCAAATATAGCACATCTAGCGAATATCTGGTCCAATACAATTTGGCCCCAGGTTCTATTTTCCATTACCTTTAGAGTAGCTAACACTTTATAAGATGTACTCATCTCCGTTCATAAAGGTGGGTGTATGGTGACATCATGACAGCTACAGCGAGATAAAATATAATACTCTACATTTCTCTAGTGCAGTTTTCCTGCATTTGACATATGTGAATCTTATGTTTTGATAACTTAATGACTTCTACTGCTGTGTATCAAGTCAGTAACTTTAGGAACTATGTCACATTTTATATCATATTTTTTGTTTTGACACTGCAATGCAAAATTAAACACTGAGGGAAAGTGAGCAGGATCAAAACATTTCCAGTCTGATAAAACTAGGTGTGTTAATCCAGTGTGTGGATAGTTATATAATCCATTTTCCATAGTTATGGATGTTGTGATGTGCTCAAAACCACCTTTCTGTATCTTAGATTGTATTATAATCTACAGTAAGGTGCTCCTCTTATTTTGTTCACATAACAGGTAATAATTTTCAGCTTTTTTTTTTTTTTTAAAACCTCAGTGATTACTGATCATGTGCTAATGTAAGAGAAACACTGTCGTTATCTTGCTTACTTTAGCTATCTCACAAGGGCGAATGCAGGGCAGACTGCTCCCGGGTGTGTGCCTAATCTTTCACAAATTGTTTTCCCTATTGTGTTTGCGATGCCCTATTTGTGACCAGAGGGCTACAATGTCACTCAACCATTTCAGGTGTTGTTTGAGAAGAGCTAATAAGACGCATTAAAGCCTTGAACAAACAGGGGCTCCGAGTAGAGTGCCGGTCTGGGCCCAGGTGACTTGGTGTGATGGTGGTGGCTCGTCTCAACAGCCTTGAGCTTTGGAAAGGGACGTGCTTAAGACCAGCTAGTTGCTTCTGTCAGGCGTGTTCTCAGATAATTTCTGGTGGAATGGTCAACAGAGCTGCTGTGCTCCCTGTTCTGTAGCGCAGCTTAGGGCGACAGTGGCAACGTGCTTTATCTCTTTCAGAGCTAGAAAAGTGGTGCATCATGAGGGAAATGAATTATTAACGCCACAAAGAGAGACCAAACAGGATGAGAGATAGTGACCAGAATAGAAACAAAAAGAGGAAGAAAAAGGGCATGCGAGTAATTTATTCAACTCCGTCCCACCCCGCCAATAACCACAGTCACCTGAGCTTCTCCCAGATCATTGTTGACCACAGTGAAGTTGAGACCCAGCTCCTCCACATCGCCCTCGTAGCTCTTGAGAAAGAGCAGGTTGCGGTACATCTCTGGGTCCAGTGAGGCTAAGTGGTGGATGTCCACATCTGCACTGGTTCCCAAAAGCTTAGACAGGAAGAAACTGGCAAAGGGCAGCTCCACCAACATGTTCTCATACAACGCCTGTGGGGAAAATGTGGCTGTTAACTGGAGGATCACTGAAGGAATACTGCCTCTTCACCCACAAACACCTGTCAATCAGTGTGAATGAGAAAATGCTCTGAGCATTAAACACAGCAATTAATATTGCCCGGGAGTCACTAAATAAAACATGATTAGTTAACTGAGATTAAATGGGTAGACAAAATGGACTGTGTCTTGCATCAAGTAGCAAGAATAATATTACATATTCAAAAATCTGATTACAACACACATTTGCCTAGTTTTATATTTATAAATCAGGTGATAAGATAATAAATCTTGTCACATCATAATGACTGAGAGCAAAACACAGAATGTAATCTATCTAAAACACACAGGCTTCTGTTTCACCTGCCTCAAACTTTATAAATGCCAATTCTCACCTTGACCTTAAATGCCATTAAGAACTACAGCTGGGCAAGTGACTCATAAAACCCAAAGCTAATGTACTGGAATAGTCCGAAAAAGAGCCTATTGGAGGCACTAAAATATACAGGTCTTTATAAATGATAGCACTAAAAACCCTGCCCGCATCAGCTAAATGGATTATAAATCTAGAGGATTTCCATAATGCATGCATCTTAAACACACACTCGCACATAAATCACAGCTATTTTCTAAACACAGGTAAATTGCGTAACTTCAAACACTGTCTCTTTTTTATGCAAAATAATCCACTTAGTATTTCTCTTGTGGCCAGTGCTCATTTCAGACCATATGCGCCGCATGGCCCCTTGAAACCTATCAATAACACTTGTGCCGGGAAGAGGCAGCAATAAGTATATGGAAAAAACCTGTAGCCTTATTTTTCAATGCCACTTACTTTATTTATGAGTGTTTATTGCCAGAAATTATGCCAAAATGACTTGAGCTGGAAAGAATTAATTATTATGGGCCAGGCCTTTTAATATAAGTGAGTGCAGTGGCAACGCAATTAAAGCAGATCGTGGCACCATCAGGTGGAATAAATGCCAACAACATTGCAGGTGCATTCTGTTAGCTGCCAAATAAATTCCTTAATTTACAACATTAAGAATCAATAAAATTATAATGCCTTTCAAACACATCTCTATCAATCAGGGGTGCCAACCTCACACACCTCTAAAGGGGTCTATCCGTCATTGAAGATCAGTGAGAGGAGGGTGCAGAAGTCTTTTGAGTGCAGCGTGAGAGGGAGCAAACTTTCCTCACAGTTTACATGCAACTTCTGACGAGGTTGGAGGTTTTGTACTAATGAGATACAAATGAGGCACAAAGAGAATCTGCTACAGGTTCTATGCATAATGAGAAATGTGCACATGTTGAGCTAACTCTCCCATCAAGATGAACTTTTTAGTCTTTAGGCTGAATGAACAGAAACAGATGCAAGGTAACCTGTTTTCCCCATTTGTGGCTTAAATCTTTCAGCTTGTCAGCTGGGTGGACAAGTGAGGAAGAAGGATGACGACCGGCCTCTATTCTGATGTTCAATCCCATTTCAGTGAGTACCCTAGACAAGCCACTCCTGCCTGTAATACATCACCTCCACAACAATGGCACGCCTCGGACATTAATTAACAATATTAATCTCCTGTGTCCTTTGAGCTGCAGTGTGCACAGTACACATTGCAGCTCAATGGTGATGCAATCCCTCTCTATTTAAACGGTTACCTTTTATCCAGGCAATAATGGCACTAAACAAATATCAATACACCTCTCAAATGGCCACTCAAACATCAATTTTTATGGAGAAAGAGGAACTTAAGGTAGGGTTAATTGAAAGTCAAATTCAAATTAATTTCCCCCTGCCTAATTGCCTGAACCATTAGCTATGGAAAGCACAATCTCTAAAGAGTGGGAGCTGAGAGCTCGTTGCTCCTGATTGATCATCTCTCACTTGCAAAGAATATAGAGAAGAAGAGATCCAATGCTCTGATAAGTGGACCGGACCATCTAGGGCCGAGCAAGAGAGAAGAGGCCTGGATGCTCCTGACTGTAAAACAGATCAAAATGCTATTACAACATGCTTTGAATGCTTATTTATGTCCTGTCTGCATGGGCCTGCTGATTTAGTGCCAGCCAAATGCAATCACTACACAAACAAGAGGTAGGAATCATCGGCTAATGGAAGCCCTAATTGAGAGGCGACCACTTGTCATGAGGTAATTCTTCTCTGGTCTGAGATCAGAGCCCCGCACACGAGGAAGGCATCTTGATAAACAATCACTATCACATGCATTAAGAATGATTTAGAAACATTAGGCTCTAATAAATAGTGTCATCAGAGGAAGGAAGAGATAGAAAACCATTGCCGTCAACAGATTACACACTGGGCTAATTAACAAAACTAAAGGCTTGCACAAATGCCAGGTTCAAGATCTAACCCCTACCCTAAAACCTTCTTAAGAAACAAATAACAGCAATTTTTCTACACATTGTCAGTTCGTACAACAAACATCCGAACAAGCTCTAAATATACATAAACTGCAAGAATAGCCTTGGCACTCACTGTGACTGATCTTAACTGATGTGTTGTCCATCACATCAAGGCTGTCTACAACCAAGTCTCACAATTTTCTTTGTACTTTTTCATCATATGCTCTCATATCTCCAAACACTCCAGAAAGACTCTTTGTTCTGTCGATTTTTAGGTTTATATAAGAACATGGAAATATTCATTATATTTATCAATCCTCTTTATTAGATTTTACTAAAAAGGCTCACCTTTCCTAGGATCCTGCCTAGAAAGTAGTAGTGTCTTGTAAACGAGTCTCCAACCAGCATTCCGGCAGTGGGGGTGGGGTACAGCAGACCTTCATTGGTTGTCTTGAAGAAACCCTGGTTGGGATTGAAGCCCGACTTGAGAAGCTCATTGAGAAACTCCCGAAAGATACCGCCACCATCAATGCCTGCCTCATCCAGACCGTGGGCATTCAACAGATGGACTCTAATCCTTTTCTTCAGGTCTGGTTCTGATACAAAGAACATGAGGAGGAATTTAGAATGGTACAAAAACGTAGAAGGACTGACAAAGTACTGTAAAGTTCATGATCACAATCAACTTCATAAATATAACCAGACTACAGATAACCAGTTTTTCATTCTTTACTTCAAATTAATTTTTCGTAGAATGGAAATCAGGTCAGAAACCTTTCTAATAGAGGATTCCCAGTTAAGCATAAAAAAAATTGTCTCCAAACACAAATAGCATCAAACTAGAAATAATCTTAGGTTCATATTTCATTTTAACAATTAATCAGATACACTTGACTCCTGACTACTCATATAAATGGGGACAGACTCAGAGATGAAATTATTAGGGTAAAGTCAGAAAATACATTTCTAAATTGCTTTTTGTTAAAGCTTTGTGTGCCAAACTTGAGCTTCAAAACTGCTCTACAAAACTGCTGATTTGATTCTTTTGTAGTTTAGTTTTTAACTAAATGTTTATATTTAAAGTTCCCTTACAAGGTTTCACCTTCTTCTCCATTATTTGTTTCTAATATTTGGCTGTATTTACAGCACTAAATGTACAAAGATTAACAATAAGGACACTTTTCAATAGTGACCTGATTGTTCCTGTAAAAATAAATAAATAAATTT